TTTTTTTTTGACCAAAAGTGTTTTCTAGTCGAGATCAGCCTTTTGAACAAAAAAAAATCGAAAAAAAAGACCTTTCCAAAAAGTGGATGGGTCTCGATGGATTCACCCAATAGACATGTTTTTTTCAAAAACAAAGTATCATACGATTATACATATCATGATACAATGAATAATCTTAAAAGACGACATATAGAGAAAAATATGAACTTAAAACTGTGAAAGGCAACATGAATGATATTACCACAATCGGCAATGGGTTCCAAAAGGATCAATATCATGGGTGTGAGTGTGAATGTTCGTCCTGTTCAAAACACATTCACACACTCGCACACAAGATGCTTCGAACTTTTCACTCTTAACTGCCGTAAGCATAAATCACAAAGGCTGACTAAGAACACATGTGAATGTGAGTGTGGTTCATCTTCGGAGTCACGATTAAGCCACAGCAACATCCGCAGTCACAATCACAGCTATAGACACATCTAACAAAATCCATGCTCCACATACGCACTCATACTCACAAGCACACTTAGAACCTAATACGAATACCTCCTTTCCACGTACTCTTATGCCAAACACTGAATTTAAGTTAATTCACTTACCAGAGTAACCAGCAATGGTATCGCCAGTTGAGTTTCTACCACCAACCATACTTTTTTTCAGTGAGCATCGTTGACTTGATGGAGAATATGTAAAAGCAATGCATCCAAAAGTTGCTCGACATTGTGAACAACAGCTAGCATAATCATGTTGTTGTACAGGAGAAGGTAATATGTCATTATCAGGTATGTCCCACCCGTCTTGACGTACGAAACGATAACAACTGTTGGCTATAAAAAGATAAATAAAATAATAATGTTAATAGCACTGATTATGCCCATGAAAGATTCGAAAAAGTGATCCCATTCACTGTATCCTTGCTGGAATATGTGTTTAACTCTTTCTTATTTTGTCGTCACCGAAGCGTTCATGGATGCCAGAAAAGCAGGAGGTTAGAGATTTTGTGCCTGATTCCTGCATTGCATTCCAGAAAGTGCTATCTCATTTGGAAGCAAGAAATCGTAATTTAATAACAATTAGATTCAATTCTAATCGGTCTTGTAATATAAATCATTAGAATAAGCAACAATTTTAAGTTTCAAAATTTAATTGTTTAAAATTTGAAAACATTTATTTTGAGTTTAAGAGAATGTACATTATGAGGGAAACCATTTGGAAATATATAAATAAAAGTTTCAACTTTTCCTTTAAACTTTTGAAAAGCTTCTGACACTACTTATCATGAAGTTTATACCTTTAGTTCTACTTTCCGCTATCTGCAATCAATAGAGCTTGCTATATACTAGGCTTAGTAATGTCTGTCTGATTGGCTGCAATATGTCGAGTGGACTAAAATAATGTTTTTCTTTTTCTTCTTAATCAATACCAAATAATAGAGTTTGCAGGAGGTAATTGTTATTATGCATGTGACAAACTTTTTCCTTTGAACTTAAACTCACGATCGAATGTACATCATCACATGGAAATGAAAATCAAATGAACATAAATCAATCGAGCTGATAGTGCATTTATACACAAAAATTGAACGTAAACAGAAAATGATACTGTAAAGTCGACATTCCGGACAAAAAGGGTCAGTAAGTGTATTGCCTTCACTGTCATGCTCTCTCGATTCATCCATTTCACACTTGCAAAAAATATACAGTAAACAGTATGAATTGCAATGAAACCTATGTAAAATTTCGATTTGACTCTAACTAAAATTCTTCTGAGCTGAAGTCAAATTCATGACCATCCCTCATACATTCTGAGCTACTGAAAATTTCAGCATCTTCACTACATTCGACAAGGTCTTCTTATAGAAGCTTACAATGTATACGAAATGCAGCATTTTCTCTTATTATAAAGAAAAGGTGTTATTTGCAGCTTTAACAATCACTTATTACTCAAATCGGCTGACCTTCATGAAATATTTAAGATTTAAATCTCATATTTGACTATCGTCGCGAAAATTAGCAAAATTGTCAAGTGCAAATGAACTAATAATTCAAAACATACTCATCTTACTTGAACCTAATTTTTTCACAATCAACAAATCGGAAGTAGCGATTCCGAAAATGTGAAGCAAAAGGATCATACAGACCCAGTTACTCAGTAACACAGTTGTGTGAAGCTGTCTTTATTGGATGCAAGAGTGCAGACTCTATCTCGTCGCCGCTATGGCTGAAGGGTTAAGATGTTTGACACATATCCACAAGATACTGTGTTCGAACCTCGGATTCATCAGTCATAGAATAACCTTGGACAAGTCACTAGCGGCTGTTTTGTCTCGGACCACCCATCCGATAACAAATTGACTACGAAGTTGACATACACTAAATAGTCCTTGTGACTAGTACGTGGTTAATCACTATGTACGGGGAGCTTAAGAAATTAAACGAGTAGAACTCTGAGTCAGGCCGGCCCTCTGTCCAGAGCTACATTTAGAAATAGATGTCGGAAAATATCGGGCTTCTTGAAACTGTCCTCAGACAGCATCCTATACCGCAAGGTAGCCGAAAGGCGGGGTATTCCTCTTCTTCTTCTTCTTCTTCTCTGTCTCGTCAAGAGCGTTTTCACTTTCCATTCTGTTCTTTTCTTATTTTACTCTCTCACATTTTGTTCGTTCTTTCTTACCCATTCAAGTTTATTCTATAAAACAGAAAGGATAAGATTTCACGTTTCACATCACTGAAAATTTGTTGCAAGAGAGAGCAAGAAGCGTTTAATTTGTTTTCTTGGATGAAGTTTCTGCAAACAAGAAGAAAAAAGCCCTATCAATTCATATGTAAAGTGGCTCTTCGATCTACTAACTCATCAATAAAAGTTTCATGCATCGATTATATCTAACAAGCAATAGAGCTCGATTGAAAACGTGAAAAATTAACAAACAGACAGGGATTAATATTTCACTCTCATTTTCAGTCGTGAAGAATTTCCAACCTTGCATATGCTAAATTTTTGTCAAGAAACGTACCACAAGAAAGATGTCCAGAATTTAAACTTCTCTCAAATATTTTTTTTTCAATCATCAAGCAAACTTCAAAGAGCTAGTCTCGTTTATTCAAGTTCTCTTTCAAATACACGCTGCTTCCTAACAGAGAGCTAGTACACTCACGATTATATCCACTGATAGTATCGCCAGTTGAGTTTCCACCATTGCCCATACTTGTTTTTGGCCAGCATTGTTGACTTGAGGGTGAATATGTAAAAGCAATACATGCATAAGTTGCTTGACATGTTGAGCAACAGCTAGCATAATCAGGTTGTTTTACAGGAGAAGATAATATGTCACTTCCAGGTATGTCCCAGGCATCCTTACGCACAAAACCACCACACGTATTCGCTGTGAAACGAAAAAATAGAAGAATAATGTTAATAGCACTTTTAATGTAGATGAAAGATTGGAAAGAGTAACCATATTCAATGTATTTTTGTGAAACACGATCTGGAAGGAGTGTTGAAGTGTTTAGGGGTAGAAATTTGGACCCCCCCCCCCCCCCCCCCCCCCCCCCC